CAGTAGGTTTCCTTTAGCCTGACCACCTCGGGAGTCCCCAGTACCTGCTCACAGACTGCACGTCCTTTTGTCCTAAAGCAAGCACAGCTCGAGTGACTTCAGTGACAATCCTCCTGTATCAGCCTTCGCAGGCTTTTACACGTGATGGGAAGTCTTGCTGGAACCCGTGGAGCTGCTCAGAGAACAAAGCCAAGGTGATGGGGATGCCTCCATTTTTCTCCATTCCTGAGCATTTGCAACGATTTTATTTTCATTCCCCATTCGTTTTAGGGGTTGAACGCCTCTTCCCGTTCAGACAGTAAGGACTCAGCAAACTTAACAGTTGCGTTGTTTCTAGGATTAAGTGTTGCAGTTCACTGGCTCTATCATGTCACGCTGGATTGCGCTGGGTCTTCTTACCCACCTTGTATGCTTGTATGTTCATCTTGTTCTGAACAGGCAGGTTCTGAATTGGTGAGAGGTTAAATGAAGTCTCCCTGATCAGAATTGCTCACTTTGCAAGCATAGGTAAAGACATTGTTTCTGTTTGAGGACGTAATGAAATAGATAAAAACTAAATTCTGCAGGGAAAAGCTGAATTTGGAGAGAAATGAATGGCATGTCAACCCTGAGCTCTTTCTGTGTGTTCAACATCCAGTTTATACAACTGTTTTCTTCTTTCCAGGGCCTGTCAAACTCCCATTTCACCTTAGCAGAAAGGGATTTCAGTGGCACTGGGCTCACACAGCATCCTCCACTGAAAGCTCTGAAAACAAATTACAATGCAACATACGAAACCTCCTCAGTTAAGCCTCATCTGAGAGAGGAAAAAACAGAGGCAAAGACAGAATGTGTTCAAGGTCACAGGGAACTTCTCTGGCACAGCTGGGAAAAATTGCCAGAGCCGCAGTGTCCTGACCTCAGTCCTCACCTGCCCGACTTTGCCCTTCTGTCCTAAGGTGGCAGCAGGAGTGAACCCAGCCCTGGAGGGCAGGGAAGACGGGACAGGAGGCACCTGTCCTTTAATTCCCCTTGGTAAATCTGGGCCCATATATTGCTCCTTTAGTAAACAATCTCTTTTTTAAAAGAGTTTTTCACTGTACACAAGGATGCCTGGACAATGACCTGGTGCTACTGTGCTATCAAGAAGGATGATAAGGAGAACTTAGAGACCTATCGTGATGATCTTTACAGCTCCCCCTGCAAAGAGCTGCCTTCGTTTCTGATGCATGCTAATTTATAAACAGCCCTGACTCCACTACTTGGAGAAAGCTTTAATTTCTCCTTGTACTTGGTGTACGTGATACTCTGCTGTGGAGAGCAGATGTTTGTACCAGATTCTCATCCCATGGAAATCAGCAGTGGAAGACTTGGAGACAAGAGGTGAAATAGCATCGGGGTTATCTCCTGGCCGCAGCTCAGAGCTCCTGTTACAGCCAGTCTGAAAGGCCAGGAGACGCCCTTGCACTTAGCAGCGTAGCCTTGAGCACATGCCTGCGTCTCTGCTGGAGATGAGCATCCTGTTGTTTGCAGAGTCTAGTTACAGCTAAGGCTGAAAAGAAAAAGTATCTGTCTGCATAAACAGGAATTTTCCTCAATTGCAGGAGGCAGCAGAGGACACTGCTTTGTCTTTGTCTCTAAAAGGGCTGAGTGATTTTTTTTTTGTTCCTTTTGCTGCCTTCTTCCTGCTCCATGACTCTGGTGTACCTTCGGCAGGAAAACAGTTGCTGTCCCTTCTTTTTTATCCATATCCATCAGAGGATTTTGTTTTCCGGATTGCTGCTGCTGAAGCTGCAGCAATAACACTCCTATATAGCCTTACTTAAGGGAGGGAAGAAACAAGACCACATGACAAATCGGTCCAATTTATCACAGCAACAGAAACCTGTAATTCAGCTAAATCGCCCCTACAGGCCAGCTTAGAAGGCATCAATATTTAATGACCTGAGCACTGCTGTCTGCACAGCTCCAACTTCACTTCTGCCCTTCCTCACGTCACAGCGTGCCCCCCCAGGTTTGTCACTCCAGCGGTGGGGAGGGCACCCCCACACTTCCTCTGGTGTGAGCAGCATGTGTCTTCAGGCTGCCAGGGCAAGCCTGCTGGCTATCCAAAGTGGCACAGCCCAGACCTGCTGGGCACGACCAAATTCTGCCCCATTTCCTACCTGGCTGGACCACCTGTGCGGCACATTTATGCCCAATTAACAGCTCTCTTCTGGGCATGCCTGTGGTCTGTGGGAGCAAGACTAGACCCAGCTCAGCTCACAGCCTCTCCTACAGTCTTTATTTTGGGTGACAGACACTGTTCTCCTGGTAGCAGGCTGGAGGTGGCTTCAGCTGTCTACGTCTGTCCCTATTACTGAGGCAGGAGTATTTTATCCCAGATGGAGCTGCAGTGAAATAAATTACCAGCAACGTCCTGCATGTGGTGCAGGAGGACCTGTAAAGAGGATGATCCAAGCTATGCCAAATCCCTCCCACCTGTGAGCAAAGGGGGGCAGCAGGGGAGCTCAGGGATAGAATCACAGAATGCTTTGGGCTCGAAGGGGCCTTAAAGATCATCTAGTTACAAACCCCTGCCATGGTCAGGGACACCCTCCACCAGCCCAGGTTGCTCAAAGCCTCATCCAGCCTGGCCTTGAACACCTCCAGGGATGGGGCATCCACAGCTTCTCTGGGCAACCTGTTCCAGTGTCTCACCACCCTCACAGTAAAATATTTCTTCCTAATATCTAATCTAAATCTACCCTCTTTCAGCTTAAAACCTTTACCCCTAATCCTATCAATATGCTCCCTGATGATAACTCCCCATCTCTCCTGTAGCCCCCTTTAAGTATTGGAAGGCCGGGCCCAGGCTCCAAGCTGGCCACAGCGACTGACATCCGAGAGCATCGCCCAGCTGTGCCCTGGCATGCTGCAGTGGCTCCTTTCTGGCTTGCTCTGCCTGGGACAGCAATGGAAACAAGTGACAAGTTATACAGCTCTACTGCCTCGGTTTCCCTGGTCTGTAAAATAGAGATGACCAAGATCTCCTGGTGACAAGCAAAAGGAAGAGGCATTTTTACTTATCAGGGCAGTGGTGGGGCAGAGGAATCTGTGCTGCTGGGCTGGGAATAAATGACCCAGCAACTTGAATTCCTCCAGCAAGACTGCACCTTCCACCAGGCTCTCTGTTCACTTAAAAACCCCTTTGATCCAGCAAACTGCATATTCCAAAGGGGGAGTTCATTATCCACTCCAATGGCAGTGAGTGGCAGAGGCCATTTCCATTACAATAAACGGCTTTGTGGTAAGATGGCTCTATAATTCACTTGGAATTTAATACTGGCCAGAGGGGCTCATCTCTTTACATCATATACATTAAGCAAAGCACCTTTGCCAAAGTCCCCCTGTGCTAAAGAGCAGTTATAATGACGGTGATTAGGAATAATCATAACAGCAGAGGCTGCTGTCTCAAAATAGTTTGGGTCAGTGGCTGCCAGGCCGAGGGGACTATGATGTGCACAGAGGACTCCTGTATTTGTGAGGAACAGCTGGCTTGCTGCAGTTCATCCAGAGATGAACAACAAAAGCTTGGCAGCTGCTCAGGGGTAGTTCCATCCCCTCCAGCACTTGGTGACTGCTCCAGAGCCCCTCCACTCTGGTGGCTGTAGGGCACCTGTCTTGTTACGGGCATGGCCTAAAACTAATAGCAGGGCTGTGCAGAAAAGTAAGTAACTCAACAAACACATGCAAGTACCCTGGCAAATGCTTAATGGATTGTTCCAGCAGTTAACTCTCCAAGAAAGGAACTGAGAGCCAATTCAGTGCCTTCCAAATCACAGCTCTGTTAAAAAAATTAACCCAGAGTACAGCTCTTCCTCTTGGCAGCTGTCCAATTATTAATTTCAATGTATCGACTGCATCTGAATGGGCTTGGGCTTCTGCCCACTATTTCTATTTATTTGTTTTCCATTCATCTCCACTAAAATTACAAGTCAAAACCTTCTAGAGAGAATGGAAAACAAATATGCTGAACCAGTATTGCTGCCCACATACAACTGGCAGAGATCACTGCGCTTTTTCCTCCTCTGCAGTGAGGCAAGATCTAATTCTGAAAACTCTCTGAGCCTCTCATCTAAAAAACAGTGTAGACGCCTACAGCACTAGCTGCAGCCTTGAGTTCCCCCTGCTTTCTGGGCACATCAGAAAGCGTCAGCCTTCAGCCCTTGACTGTAGGTTTTTACTGTGTACCAGGTCACAGTGACTGCAGAGGCCCTGTGCTGGAGACCTTTCTGGATCAAACAGCATCTGCATGGTTTAAGAAGACGGAGCTGATTGTCCAGATGGTCAGACTTAGGTTACAGTCCCATATAACAGTCTGGACTGCCCCCGTATTAGAATGCACACTGCACTGGCTGTGGAAAGAACTGCACACTTTTAAAGGAAAATGCATATAATCCAAGAATATTGATTTTTTTTTTCTCCCCTTGCTTTTTCCCTTGTTGCTCTCAAGAGGTTGGCGGAGGTTCCTCAGGCCAAGCTTGCTTGTGCTGACTGGAGTTAACTTTTCTACCATGCCGTAAGCACCCAGCCTCCCTAGTGCTTGCTTGACTTCTTATTGATGTCTTCCTTTGTTCTGAACCCATCTTTATCTCAGAGCACATCACCTGAACAAATGTTTTGCTATAAAAGCCCAGGATTTTCCAATGGTGTGATTCTTTACACATCTGAGTGTGAATAAGAACTGAAAAGCCAAAGGTTATGAACTTACTTTTAAAGTGACATAAATTACAAAATATGCTAATTTACAACTACAGTATTTAAATCCTATTTGCAACAGCACAATCAGTAGGATCTAACTATTGATGTACAGGAAAAGATTCTTAATAAGATAAGTAAAATGCACTAAAACAACGCTTTGGTCTTTTTCACTGCTTTGTCTTACAATTCAAGTGTTTTCCTTCCTTCAAAACACACCCAAGTGAATGCATAGTGCAAGGTATGAGTCTGTTTGAGTAAGAAATTCTTCTGCCTGTTACCTAAACGGACTTCATTCCACCAATAAATAGAGTTCCCATTTCTGCATTTAGGGCATCATCATCAGGAATGACATCATCCTCCATAAACTCATCTCCAAGCTTCTTCCACCATGGCCAGCAAGCATATTTCAGCATAGCATTGTGGGATTGTCTTGCCTTGGCAGCTACAGGAAGTGATCGACTCCTAAAGACATCAAGGTCTTTTTCTGTGGTCTCTGCTAACCGTGGAGCATCTGTAAGAACAACGAAAAGAGTTTTCTGTATTTTGTTTGCAATTTACGAGTATTTCAAACAAAAAAGGAGCACTAGCCTCCCACTTCCCACTGTCCTAGGTCACTCCTTTCCCCACGGTGGCATTTTACGGCTGCATGATAAACCTAACTGGAGAAGCAATCCAAATTAAGTCTAAACTGACAAAATAAGTACATAGTACGGGAAGGAGAAGAAGGGGGGAAGGCAGGACTACTTCATTCAGATGGAGTGGTGGCATCCACCAAAATGACTTCTTGTGAAACTATGAACTAAGAGAAAGAGGAGCTCCTGGTCGCTACTGCTGGATCAGTGCCCCTGGCGAAGGGTGACATCAGTGAAGTGTTTCCACCCCTCTGGTGCAGCAACACTGCATATTGCCCACCCGGGGGACCCAGCACAGTGTAAGAGCATGCTGCTGATTGCCTGGTCAGGAAGCGATGAGCTGCAGTGACACAACACGTGACAGACTAAGTAATGGAATTCAGTAACTTGCTGAATTTTGTCCTGCTTGGGTGCTCTCTGGTGGCTGCAGTTTGCTATTCTCGCTCTTTCACTCCAGGCAAATTGTCTGGAATTAAGATAGCACAATAGTGAATTCTGTTTCAAATAAAGTCAGGCCAGAGAAAATGAAAACATGACTCAGAATTCATAGCTCAAAGACTCCCCTCTTTACCTGGAAGAGGTGAGAGCACTTCAACCAGCAGCTTACTTCCAATACAAGAGAACAGAACAAAGCAAAACAAATGTAGAAGAGAGTGTGTGAGATCCCCTTAGAAATTTTAATGCCTTTTGCAGGGCCATTGCTTTTGTTGTAAATATATCAGAGCAGAAGAATAAGCTGCTCCTTGAATAGCAGGTGTATATACTTAACCTAGAGCAACACCTGGATAATCTCTAACAAAGCATGAATCTCAAGGTAAGGCATATGGCAAAGGAAGAAAGATACTTCAGCTTTGAAATGAGGTTTTACCACTGTTCCCTCTAATTTTCTCTCTAAATTAGTTTAATCTAAACGGTAATCAAAACTATGACCAGAGCAGTCACATACTCATTAGCAGCTCCACATCGGTGTTGACCTGAGCCAGTAACATCTCTCTCCGCCGTGCTGCTCTCTGATCCAGTCTGCTCCTCAACAGGAACTGTGCCAGCTTTTCCTGGGCCTGCATATGTAATTCTTTACTCTTTTCTTCTGACATTTGGGAAGCCTGGTAGAAAACAACAGTTTATTACCATTAGGAGCTGGTTATTTTAAATCTTTTGGGGGCAGAATGATATCTAAACAAGGAATGTAAATGCTGTTCTTAATTGTTAACTTAATAATTTTGCTTCCTCTGCAGCTCTCTCCAAAACTATCCATCATCAAGTATATAAATTTTCCAATTACAGTTTGCTTTGACCTTTTTTATTAGATTAATGGTTAAAATCCCCAGAATCCTAGTACCTTGCTCTCCAACAGGGGTTAATATATGCAGGGTTAATATATGCATGCCTCACACGAATTATCTTGATCAGAATTTATGAAGCTGAATATATTTAATCCCTACAGTATTTTATGTTGCATCATTAATGCGAATTATGAAATGACTAAGAAACAGACCGGATGCAATTTGATGTAGTCATCCACTTTCTGCTGCAAAGCCACTCTCTGCTCATCAGTCAGTCCCTTGGGATTTTTCCAAGAAGAGAGAAGTCTCCTCCTTCTTCGTTTTTCCAAGAATTTACAAGCCTTTGTAAAGAACATATGAGAATATGACAATCACAGACAGGAAGTTTGTCTTCTCACTTTGGTTCTAATCCATCAGTGAAAGAAAAATGTTTCAGTACTGTATCTGTGAAAGCATAAATTTAGCTATGATGCTAAAAAGACAACTTACAATGGCCAGCATGCATACTAAATAGTAAGTAAGAACACGCATAATAAATTAGTGACTCATCTGCAGTGTGGTGAAATTGGAACCTTAGGTTTCTAAGTGGCAGCTCTTATATTTTAGTTACAAGGCTGTATCATGCTTTGTAACCCATGCAAGGTTTAACACATCTAAGCAACTTCTGGCTCTAGACTATCATCCCCTGAATAAATTTTTAATAAATTTTGGCTACGTCGACAGTAAGAGAAGAAACAGAGCTTTTTGAGGCATCGCAATAATCCACTCAGTCCTATCTGATGTCAGAGCAAAGTATATATACTTACTGCTCTCTGGATGACGACAGCTGCTTTGTACTCCCTAAGAGATTGTCTCTGTTGATGAAAATGTCTTCTTACTCTATACCCTCGCCAGAATCTCTGGATAGTTAATGCTGATTTGTCCTCTGTTTCCTCCAGGTACTTATCTACCTGGCCTACAAATGTAACAAAAATCCAGTTGTAAGACTGGGGGTTGGGATCTCTTAACAATTTGCATTTTTAATCCTCAAACTAGATAGTACAAAAAAAAACTTGGGTGCTATCAGTTAAAAACCCCTGTTCATCCAAGGTCCCCTAGCTGTGGGCCATGTCTCAGAGACTTGTAGCTACAATGGGGCCTTGTAACACAAGAAAACTGGGTATCCCTTTCTCCTGCACCATTTTGAAGGCAGCAGATCTTTCTAAGTAGTTACTGAGCCCTTGCAGAATTAGCACATTCTCTGTCAGATAATTGGGCCAGGAGAAGAGATGGTAGGACTACAGCACAAACGGACATGCAAGATTAGGAAATATATTTGGGGAAACTGTTCTTAAGGAGACCCAGACAGTTTAATCTTCTGATATAGTTTAATATAAATCATACTGGCATGGGTTATTTCCAGTAAGGCCAGCTGTCGTTCATGGAAGAGTCTCATGGCCCTCTGTTTCTGAAGTTGCATTTCCAGTTTTAGAGCCACATCTTCCTTCTGTTTTTCTAAATGCTGCAGCTCCTTTTCCCGTTTAGCTCTGCAATACACAAATACATTAACAATTAGCGTAAGTTGCACATTTCTTAAACGTATCTCTCTTTCTCTTTGTGTTAAATGGTCCAGCATTGAGGAAGGACATCCACAAAATAATCTGCCATACCAGCTGTTGGCTGCAGGACCACACCAAGGAATGAGAAATCACCTGCAAGCTGACAAATTGCCACACTATCTATAGCCATGAAAAATTCTGAGACAGTCACTCAATCTGCTATCAAATCAAGGGATATATTTACTTAGGATAAAAAAATTCTAAGGACCCTGAAGGGAATGATGCTCCATGTGGGACATTCACAGCTAGCATGAACTAGAACAATAATCTTGATTCCATCATATAAGGAAGAGGTAAAGCAACATTAGCCATCTGCTCCAGTATGCACTTCTTCCAGTGCATCATCAGCATGCAGGGCACCTGCTTTCCGTAATATACACTATTATTTTTGTACAGCCTGCAAGAGTAGATCAGAATGCTGGCTGTTAAGCCTCGCTTCTTAAATTTGGAGGCTTTTTTTTTTTTTTTTTCCCCTCCAGGATATACAGACTGACACATTTTCTCAATCACCGTTGTTAACAGAACACTAGGAAAAAATTTTATTGCAAATTCTTTTTAATCTACACTAGTTGTTGTAATTTGATGTTAGGATGTTGCCCCGCTGTGCTAGATGTCGGAAAAGCCCCAGTAGATGTTTCACAGATGAGACAACTGAAAACTCTGTAACTGGCCCTGGAGTGTTTAAGCTAATAATAGCCTGTCTATCAATTATATATACACTAACGTATTAATATAGATAATAATAATTATGGAGAGCACTTGGATATCGTCTCGGTGAAGCATGAGGAGCTGTGAGCTAGGGCTCCCCCTCCCTTCACTACCTCTTCTCGTCTTAGCGCTTGAGACTTTATGAGTTCACCATGTAATGAGGTAATGATGTGACTCCTCCTATTGCAGCAAAATCACTTGCCCACTCAGGACCTGAGCACCCCCCACTGGGCCCACAGCCCTGAGTTCTGCTCTCCTCTAGCACTTTTCCAGGGACAATGAAAGGAGAACCTTAAGCACTAGGAAAGAGAACAAATGGACAGAGCACAGGCATAAGGGGTGGCAGAAAGGGGAAATAAAGGCCGTAGACTAGAACTCATGTCCAGCAATTTTGGTACTGTTGCATACCACATACCTTTAGACTTACAGTACTATTGAGTTATTTGTGTTTCTCATTGCTAGTATAAAGTGAGCTGTAACTATTCCACCAACCACACTTTCTCGTCAGTCTCTGTAACTGGGTGACGAAAGATGGGATGGAAGCTATTTTGTAAAAGAGATGCTCTGGATTTAAAGATCTGGCCCTAGCTGATAAAACAGCCTCCACCACAATCTGAGAAACCATAATCCTTTTATGACAGTAATGCAGACTTGAAGCATGCCCACACATCTACCTAGAGAGACAGATCATGATACACGTGATTACATCAAAATGGTCTCAAGGGAACCAGAAGTTTTCATCCCATGCATTTCTGTGAACTAGAGCTGTAAATCTTAGCATTTTTAATCCAGTAAGGTACATATTATACTTCTAAGCAGAATGATATCACAGGATCAAACAGGACTTCTGATGACATTTTCTTGATAAAACTATCAATAATTTTCTCTAGAAATTTTTATCAGCTCCACTAGGTGGAAAACTAAAAGAATGTTTCATGAACTTCTCATATGTGCATCTGTGAAACTACCAAAAATATCTGTCAGGTATTTAAAGGTTTCTTTGATATGGATTATATCCTGTGTAGTCTGCACAACACATGTTCTTCTTCATTCTCTGTTCCTCCTAATGATAAGACATATTTGTCTGCATAAGACGACACTGTGACAGGGAAATGCCTCTGAAAAGAAGCAAAACACACACAAAGTAAGATCCAAGCTTCCTTTGGCAGTTCATGACACAGATCAGCCTTCCTCTGATCATCTCTTTATATCTATAAAATGCTTTGATTTTTGATGCATGATTAATACAAATTATTGCCTTTTTAACAGTTCTACAATTAGCTATGCAACGCTGAACTAACTTCAGGGAGAGATTACAGGCTTTAATATTCACCAAGGAGACATTTCTGAAACCACAGTTTCAGAAGTTTATAACTTGCAGAGTTTAAGATCTTCCACTGCAGCTGCAGGTGAGCCAAGTTTAGAGTTTCAACGTCAGCAGCATTTAACCACACTTGTTCTAAAATAAATCTTTGAATATAACCAAGCCCTGAATGTTAAAAACTAAAAAGCTCTCTTGAAAGCTTTTCTAAAGTCACGCTTACAGTATTCCAAACACTACTTTTCAGCATAACACTAACTGCAGCTTTGACCTAGACATAAAAAAAACAGCACTGGAGCTGTACAGTTACTATATTTACTCAGTAGACTGGGACTTACTGAGCCATGACCACACAACTGCAAGGATATTAATACATTTCCATTCCTCTCAATATTAAACAAACACATTCAGAAGTCCATTTAAATTACTCAAGAACTACTTTAAAGGCACGCACTAATGCTTACAATACTGAAAATACGACACAAGAAAGTCAAGTAGCTTGTTGATTGCCAATAACCTTGCCGCCGTTTCCCTTCTGCTTTACCATGTTATGTCTTAGCTCATCATCCAAGTTTTCTGGGCTATGATTTTGGCTTGCATAATTTTGTCATAAAATTTTACACAGAAAACATATAAAAGCATCATAGAAGTAAGCTTTTTCATGGAGCCGTTTGGCAGGTGGGAAAGGGACAGTTGGAGCTTTTGGCACCAGAAGCGGCAGTTTGGTACTGCTGGAAAAGCACATTGTTTGTACGTTTCTCCTGAAAGAATCTGTAGTGAAACAGCTCATATTGGCCTTACACTACCTTTATGTTTCAGAAATAACACCTGACTGGAAAAAGGCATCTTCAAGATGAAGGAACTCTTGGTCTGTCCAAACTTATGCCCTGGGACATGGGAACAAATCCTCAGGGAAGCTATTTCCAGGAAGGACAGGAAGGTGAATGGGAATAGCCAGCATAGCTTTATCACAGGCAAATCACGTTTGACCAGCCTGACTGCCTTCTGTGATGAGATGACTGGCTCTGTGGATGAGGGGAGAGCAGTGGATGTAATTTTCCTTGACTTCATCAAAGCTGTCAATCACAGTCTCCCATGCAGGGCAGGGCTGATGCCCAGGAGAACCTCCACAAACACAGAAAATGGGTCAACAGAAACCACATGAAGTTCAAATGGGAAGTTCTACACCTGGTAGAAAATAACCTCATGAACTAGGACACGTTGGGCACTGACTACCTGGACAGCAGCTCCAATGACAAGGACGTGGGGTTCCTGGTAGGCTACAAGTTGAACATGAGCCAGTAGCATGTCCTGGCAGTAACAAAGGCTAGCTGCATAGTGGGCTGCACTAGCAAAAGCAGAGGCAGCAGGTCAAGGAAGATCATTGTTTCACTGTACTTGGCACTCTTGAGGGCATACTTGGAATGTTGGCCACACTCTACTCCCCCGCCACCCGCCACCCCCCAGAAGACAGATATTGACAAACAGGAGGGATAGAGCTTGTCCAAACAGAGCCAGTTAGGGCTATGCAACATACGATATCCAAGGCAGGCAACAAGATGGGTTTATTCATCCTCAAGGAAGGGAAAGAAATCAAATTTCTGTCTTCCACTACATAAAGGAAATGTTATAGAGAAGACAGAGCCACACTCTTAGAGATGCACAGAAAAAGGACAAGGAGCAGTGGTAAAGAGCTGCAACAAGAAAATTCCCACTGGCTGTAATGGAAGAATTCTTCACAAGGTGAGTCATTCAGCACCAGGACAGGGACCAAGTGGAGATAGTGGGATTTCCATCCTGGAAGACCTCCAGAACTGGATACAGCCTCGAGCAGCCAGATACCATTTTGAGGCTGGCCCTACTTCAAACAGGACACTGGATTAGATGACCTAAATTTTTGCTGTCACTTTGTGACCTAAGAAAAAACAAACCAAACCTTCTTACCAGATTCTTCTCTTTAGTGCTTTTTACAATGCCATACTGTTTACCTGAAGCATCTCTGTAAAGTGATCACTGCTTGGAGTAGTTTTTTCATCCTTTTCCTTGTCTGAAATCCCCTCCACGTAGCCTGGATTATACAAGCTGCTTGATGCTGCCTCTGAAATCAATAAAGCAGTTGGTAGAATGTTTTCTCTGCATATAAAATCACTTTATTACTGCCTGCATATTTGGAACATTTGGCCAAAACCCATCAGTTTTCAAATGCATCAAAATTCAGTATTTGTAACAGCTTGGGGAATTTAAGGTCTTATAAAAGAGTTATTATCATGAACCCTGTACTTGCTCCAAAGGCAGTTAATCTGATCATCTGGATTGATGCTCTCTGTGGTAAACAAATAAATCTAAAGCACAAATACAAAATATATATTAGCTGCATTAATCAATGTTAGAAATTTGTATTTAAAACACCTGAAGCACTTGGTATTTCACATGGTGATTCATTCAAAATACCTACAACTAGAGAGGACAGGAAGACAAGTTTGGAGAATTATCAGCAGGGAAAATGTTACAGTTGCAGTACAATTAGAAGTCACTGAAATGCAACAAACATGAAAAAAAATTCTATTCTTAAATGGATTTAAGAAAAAAAAAAACCAGAACACAACCACAACACACCCTGCTCTGATGAAGATGTAAGCAGGTGTCTACAAACATAACTCTGATTTCCTTTAAAGTATTGTCTCCGAGAAACCTGCCTGTAAAATTTTGTTATGAAGTTCGTAAAACACACATCGTCTCTTTTATTGGGAACACAGCCCAGAAGGTGCTCTTATTGAACATTTTCTCTACATGACTTAATTCTATATGAATGCTGCCTAGAATTCAGAGATCTAGATTTGTAACACTGATGTGAGAAAAGCAGACACAGTTACTTTTGTTTTATAGTTAGAAAACCAAATTTTTTTTCTCCTACAGTTGTATACAAATCTATGGTGAATCTAAAACAGAAAGTCAATCTCTCAAGTCACAGTCCCACACCTTAATCACTGGACAATTTCTTCATGTCTTCAAAAATTAATAAATAGGAAATTTAAAAATCCATTAATACAGTGAAAAAATAACAAAGGCTTTGAAAAACATCAGCAAAGTGACAGAGTAAATCCATTACATAAATGTATAAACCACATGTAATTAGGATTTCACATACAAAAGTCTTATTAAAGTCCAGCACCTGCATTTCTCCTTTTCCGTTAGATTGTTCCAGGTATAGCAGGTCCAAGAGTTGACTGAGATCGCTGTCAAATCCTTTACCGGTCCACTCTTTACTTAAAAGCCCTTTTAATCCTAAGAGAGAGAAGCAGCATGTGACACCACTAAGATGAATTTTTCTTGTCAGGATTTCAAACTAACAATTTTCAACGCAAGAAAATCAAATTTATTCTACGTGCAAAGGAACACTAGAGCTGAACATAATCAGTCATCTTTGAGTTTCAATGCAGAATATTATCAATGAATATCTGGTGCTCCAGCCATCATAGAGAAGTATTATACAGTGGCTGTAATTTTGTATGTCCAAGTCACTATCTATTGTGTCTACCTACATAACCGGCACTTAAACTATCAATATACTTTCAGTGTCTTATCAGTAAGTCATTGTAAGGTACTAAAAGGATGTAAAGCACCATGCAAGTGCTAGGTTTTATTAGCACTGCTTTCACATTTTTCATAATAAAATTTATTTATTTATAACCAGAGTCCTTTGATGTTTTATCTGTATAGCACAGTCTAACTGTGAGTACATGTCCATCCAATCCTTAAGACAAAATAGCTTTTTAGGTTCGCAGCAGCTCAAAGGCACACTTGTGCTCCCCCTACAACACACACACACTCCCCGTGCTCTGCACAGGACACAAGTAGACAGTAACACATGCTTTTTAGCTTTGGATCTGACAAATCCTAGAGCTTGAGAGTTGATCAGAGAGTTGGAGGGAAAAGGAAAGAGGGCAGGAAGTACACACATGTTTGGATAGCCTCCTGAAGAACTGCAGATTCAAGGAACTTTTCTATCTTCCAATCACTGTCCATAAGCGTATTCATACACTGGGCAACTCCAGCACCCATATGTACTTACAGGATCTGGATATGGAGCACAAAATCCTTCATGCAAACAGAAAAGGCATCTCTGTTCTATCACACATGCACCATTTTGGAAAGACAATGACGGTTAAACACCAGAAGAGAGCCAGGTGAGACTCCAAATGGAGTCAGCGGGTGCCCTAAGGCGGCCTGAGCTCTGCAAAAGCACGTAGCCTGGCTACACAAGGCAGTTCCCTCACAGAAGTCCTGCGGGTCTGATGCAACCATTTGCCAGTTTCTGTACAGACTGCACAGCCATATGCACCTTTCAGCTCCTGAGAGGGAGTACCTCAGGGGTGCCTCTCAGATGTGTCAACCCATGCAGACAAAGACCAGACTCTCCTGGAAACCTGCTGTAAAGACTGTGCTAGTCTTGGAGCTGTGAGGTTCAGGTGATGTCCTCACCTCCGGCAGGTTGCCTTTACTGACAGCAAGCTTACACTGAAGTACCTCATACTGCCAACGGCTCTGAGCCACTGTGAAGCCGAGTTACTTCAATGAGATGGCCAGATGGTGGAAACACTGTAAAGCTTTCTTTGTTGCTTCTGCTCCTCAAACTACTTAAGGGATTCTAAAGCCCGAGTGAAAACTAATGTATCGACTCTAACTTTAAAAAAAATAGAGGAAAATAGTTTTTTTTTTCATAGTGGAAACAGGAAACATGCACAGTAGAGAGATGAAGAGTCCCTAAATGACTGTGGCATACTGTGATTCTAGATCAAAATAAAGTACAAATCTTTCATGAAGACTTCCACCTCTTCACACAAGCCAGCATTCTATAGCTGGGATGGTCACCATCACAGCAGCTTCACAAGAATCTGCTGTGTGGTACCAGCCTTAGGCATGTTATACTTGATTTCATACCAAAAGGAAGCCCTCCTCTCTCAGTTCTGTAAAGTCCGTTAGGGAAAAGGGTGGCAAAACTGCCCATCTGGTCCAGAAATATATCTGGCTGGTACTGCCCAGTAAGTAGCCAGCACAAGCATAAAAAAAAAAAAGGGAACTGGACCTTTTTGTCTAGTATACGCACTTCTTACTGTCCTTGTCCCCAAGGACTGAGGCTGCTCACAAGTAGTTTTGACCATCAATAACATCCAGAATATAAAAGACTTGGCAAACATCAAAGCCTCTTTGGTCCAGAAATATATCTGGCTGGTACTGCCCAGTAAGTAGCCAGCACAAGCATAAAAAAAAAAAAGGGAACTGGACCTTTTTGTCTAGTATACGCACTTCTTACTGTCCTTGTCCCCAAGGACTGAGGCTGCTCACAAGTAGTTTTGACCATCAATAACATCCAGAATATAAAAGACTTGGCAAACATCAAAGCCTCTTTCTTAGTTTCCATGGGCATCATAGAGGACAAAGGGGTTTCCTGGACCTCCAGAGACAATAAATGAGACACTTCATTAAATAATACATAACAGAGAGCAAATTATATGCATACTCAGCCTCCTCATCTAAAGGCATTAACACAAAACAATAAACTCATTTCACGAATTCCTGGAAAGAGTTCAATCCAGTCATTTGGATATCAAAAGACAGTCAGCTCCTCAGTAACAGAACAGCACCTATCAGACAAGCAAACATGTAACAGCCAGGGTCGGAAGTTGGCTTTAAGTAAAACTTCCATACTTTTGGATAAGCAAGCCTCAGTACACTGGCAGCTGTCTGACACACGGCTCTTACGTGACAATACAGGCACCCTGCTACTAGGATCTCTCAATATCTAACCTGCACAGAAAAAAATATGCACAGCATCACATAGAAAGAAGTAAAGCTCATCAGGTTGGAAGTGACAGAAGAAAAACAATCTAAGAAACAGAAAGAGACATGGCACCGTAAACTACACTCAAAATTAACAGAAGAGAAGAGAAAAAATAAAACACCACAGCACTGCAGTTTCCATCTGTATTGGACAGTTACTGAACCGAGATGGGAAAAAAACGTCTTTGTGCTTTTACAGTGAATGTAAGAGGAGACTGAGTGACTGGCCCCATGCATATTTACAAACCTTTGTAGCGAGCTCTGAGTAACTTCACAAGCTGCTTGTAAAATTTTGCCACCGACAACAGCAGTTTTGTAGCAGTATTTCCTATGACAGGATTAGTGGTAGATGAAAGCTTATAAACAAGTTCATCCAAAACAGAGTGGAGGGTCTCTTCATCCACCTGAAGCAAAACAGAACTTTAAAAAAGAAGAAAAACAAAAAAGGCAGGGGGGGACAGAATGGAAGTGTTAATTACAAACTATGAACCTTTTAACAGTGACTTATTTTTAGACATGTCAGGCATGCAGCAAGCCAATGTACCCAGCTAGCCGGACCCGCAATCTGATCCAGGCAGTACTACTGTTTCAATCAACTGATTCCCATTCCCGCAATTTAACAATAAGATAAAAGACAACAGCTGGTTTTCCTATTTCTACAAAAAAGACTGGGAAAAAATACAGCCCACAACAATTCTTGTATATGAAAAAGTTCAATTTTACTCAGTAGTAATGAACTGAGTTTTAAATTAAAACTCAGAAAAATCAGTGATATGAAAACAACTAACCTATTGACCGTCAAAATGTTGTGTAAAACAGACATCATTATAATTCCTATTTCGACATCATCTGCTATTAACAACTGCAGGAAGTGATCATTCTGCAGTACTGCAAAAAACCCCAAAAGCAAGCAAACAAGAAATCACGCAATCAGAACCAGACTTAAATACCATAAAACAAATAAACTTCATTATGGAACATAAGCCAAAGCAAGTAAAACCAGACACTGTTTCTGGAACAAACTCCCTCTTTTATAATTTTTACACTGAAACTTACTGGAATAAGTAAACTACTTCAACACCCAAAAAACATGCCAAGCCCTGTTTTTGTGCCTTTGGCTATCCCTCAGGCACTGGTGTTGCAATGCAATAAAAGCTTTAAAACCTTTTATGTTACACTAGTACCAGCTTCTTATTACAACAGAGGAATTATCACTGGGGCAACAATATCTGGAGAAGATAAGGACTTCAACCTTGACAGTCTGTTACACCAGGTTTATTTAATGGAAATCCACTGATGTCATCAAAGCACCATCTTTTTTATTACACTGTATTACTGTCTATATATTTAGTACACTTTCTGGCTGTGTGTGTTTTCAGCTATACATCTTATGATCCTTAGGTTTTTGTTCTATATTAGGAAAAAAAAACCTGCTTTTTAAAATAGTGTGATTAACACTGGTCTAATCCAAAGCTTATTCTAGTCAGAAGTGTATAGTGAAGTTTATTAGGTATTTTTAAAATTTCCTGGCATGGCAACAACTTCAGAAATCTGTTCTGAAGTCTATCCACTTTTCAGGACTGCCAATGTGCTCTGGTCAAATTTCTGCATTTGTTAATCATGCACAGGTAAAAAGATCTCATCAGAAAAAAAAGAAATCTGATTTTTTTTAAGGTACAGAATTACAAAGGGAAATCACAGGAAAACATTTTTAATGTTTGTCTCTGAAAGACTATACAGGGAACTCTTTGGTATTTCCCTTTAGTGGATCTTTCCATTTTAGATATTTGCTGTTTCTGCTGAATGGACCACTTTAAGAGATTGATTTAACATCTACTCCAATTTAGAAAAATAGATGGAGATTAGCTTAAGAGTGATTCTTGATAACTGTAGTTGCCATAAATAAATTTTTAGGTGTTTTATGGGTTTACTTTTCCCTTACCACACGCTGCTAATTGAATATGCCCACGGAACAGCCAGCAGATGGCATCAGTTACTGTTTGGAATCAGCATAAAAGGTCTTGTCTTCATCCTAAACAAAAGAAAAGTCAGTAAAAGCATGTGTAGGTATCTTGACTGAGGGCTTCAGGCTGATGTAGTGGGAAGGTCTGTATGCTTCAGGGATTTGGAGACCAAAACTCCACCAAATTCATGGATGATGTCGGTGAAACTGCAGGAACCAGTCAAAAAAATAACTTGCGAGTCCTTCAAGGTCAGAGATAAATCAAGAAAATCTAAACTTAGTATAAAAGCACCCACTCTTGAAAAAAATCATAACAGGGAGAGAGAAGTCTTGTTTACTCTTTAAAAAATATTTGATAGCATAGGAGGGCTAAGGAGACAAATAACAGCTCAGTACAAATGTATCATAGACTTAATCCACAAAGTGGGAAATATATTACTTAAGCCTAAAGCACAGGAAAAAAAGGGTACAAAGTGGCCAAGGACATAGTTAAAATGGGAAAGGTTCCTAAAAACTGGCATGGGGAGGCTTCAGAAGCACCTCCTAGTTGGAGGTCTGGGAGCAAACACCAAGCCACTATTAAGTTGAAGTTTGATCAGTTTGCCAAACAGACTATGTTATGTGCTTGCCTGTCATAACCCTGGACTGGCAAAAATGACCAGGAAGAATCCCGGTTTTAATATGTGAATGCACATACACACGCACAGTCTAAAGTCTGTATTCCAGGTGTGAGCCACAGGCCACTGGAAATCTAAAATCTTGGTGTGTGGACAGCAAAGGGGCTTTTGATAGTACTACATCACTGACAAATGTTGTTATAAAGCACTTGGCCTGATATCTCCCACGTTAACTGAGCCTCCACAAATAAAACTCAGGAAAGTCTTATTCCTAGATCTGTGCTGTTAGTCCCAGTTGTCAGTTATGGTTTAACTTTGTATTTGGTTCTTACTGACAATGAGAGATGCAAAATCAGTTATAAATTAAGCTGTAATATTATCTGTTCTATGTTTTGTCAATACTTCAGTTTCTGAAAGCTATTTCAGTGCTTCCCTTGACTTCAAAGACTTGTGCAAAAAGCAAACGAGGGCAGAATAAACTACTAATCTCCACTGGTAGAGTGGAATTTCCAAAGTTCCACTGAGCAAGCACAGAGTCTGGGTGCCCAGTCACTTCTGAGACCACAAGGTTTAAAAGCCAAAGTACTAATTATAATGCAGACTGCATTTGCATTCAAAAGAAATCTTTGCCCACAAGCATGACTCAAGTAGCATGGGAGGCTGAGACATAATAAGAAAGTGGGGGGGAAATTACATATTGTGGATAAGACTTGAGTCTCCTGGAATGTCATTCAGGAAGCTTTCTTCTGAAGCACTAAATGCACTTCTAAACAGAAAATACATTACTGATACTTTCTGAGAATTGTGTTTGTGGTGCCCAGCACAATACTCCATAGGAAAATTTTGACTAAGTGCAAGAAGCCAGTGAGCCAAGAAATGAGATACAAAGGGGGAAACGGGGATATTAAAAGAAACTATCAGAATCCATGAGGTTGGTTATTTCAATTATTTGTGGGTTTTGTTTATAGTTTGTTTGTTTTTTTTTTTCTTCTGATTCTGGAACTCAGAATGCTTCAAAAGCATGAGGGAACCTAGCTGGGCAAAACCCTTCTCTGCAAAGAGGGAGAGAAATGTGAGAAAGTGTTCAAATCTACAAATTCACAAAGTCTGCTTTTCGGGTTCCCAACGTGCAGGTTCACAAGCAGTGAGCATTTTTAAAATTTTTCGCCAATTTTGTGGCAGAAATTGTATGGCAAAACAACCTTCAACAAATCTGATTTACAGTCTTAAGGCTTCCTAAACTTTTTTCGTAAAGCTGAATCAAGCAGTGGGAACAGAGACCTTACAAAGACTGAACTAATTATATGCAAAGTTTAAAAGACACTACCGTGACTGGGATGCTGCCTTTTGTAAGGTGCTTTTTTTTTCTATACAACTGCACTAATTCTTCTATCCTACTTATAATTGCATTCCTTTCCCCCCCACCTTTAAAACTTGTGAAAAGTAGTAGCCAAACTCTCTAAACAAACCTACTCAAACAAACTAGCTTTGCACATGTAATGGCCCGAATGCTCCGTAATGACAGCTTTCAGTTGCAAAGCTCCAAGGCATAAGAAAAACTACTGTAATTTCCGGAAAATATATTTTCATCATACAGTGTCCCTAGAATAATATCCTACTTACACAATACATAACCTTGGAAAGTTTACAGAGATTCTCTGCTCTTTTAACGACGAAATTTAAATACCTTGATTGCTTGGACAAACTGTGATTGCAAGCGTCTTCCCAAAAACAGCCGGTTATCTATAGCTGAAGGAAGAAATTTCTTGTAAAATTCCTCAGGATCTTCTTTCACCTCTAGTCCCACACAACAATGACTGAAATGGAAAGAAAAAAAAAACAACTTGAATAGTCGAGGGCCCCGTTTGAACAGCTTTGAATGAATGTCACGTCATTGGAGAAGAAATGCTTCATTGGCATGGGACAATTCAACACTGAACAACAGTTAACTGCTGTGACTGGCTCCAAGGTAGCTGCCTCAAAAGGAAGAGGGATCACTGGCAGGCTGGAGACTGCATGTTTCAGTTTACAACTCTAAGGCACTTCCTTCTCTAGCTTCACAGGATCCATTCAGGCTCATTCCACATGCTAGGAAAGGGCTCTGATGGTCGTAAAGGAAAAAAAAAGGCAAAATAGAAAGGTAGACAAAAACCTGAGAGAGCAAATGTGATGAAGGGGGTGCGGATAAGTCAGTGAAAACATGTCTAAAAAAATACTACTTACCACAAAGTCTTCAGTGAGTCTGTCTACAACTTTCCTCTAACTGAGGAATACATGTGGGCTAGAAATCAGTTGTTCAGATCTCAGTTTTCTTATTTTACTCACTGCAAGCATGTCAGTCATTTCTGGAAGACTTTTTACAAGAAGCTACATGTTTTACAATTGGGAGGTTTTTCAATTCTGTACTCCGCACTGATGCCAGTGCGACAAGAGAGTCTTCACAACTTTTTATGAATTTTGCTTTCTGACATCTAGGCTTTGTTAGCTTTTTGTGAATGCACACATGTAAAGCTTTGTTACCAAAGCCCTTGGAAAGTAAATTCTAGGCATGAAGCTGAGATTCACGTAGTTACAATGGACATTTGTATAGCTAAAATAAATTCCAGTTTTCTCTGCAAACTGAAATAGCTTATAGGGGATGATTTAAGTATCGCATAACTCTGGTGATAAATCTGACATCTCTTAGTGAAATTCCTGGCATTAAAAATTCATACTGCAGATATGGCATAAATAAGGGATGGCTGCCTAATTGCTTCATGCCTTAGAATTTTGTTCCCTAGTTAAGCCAAAATCAAGGACAACCTGGGGAAAATTTAAAAGTTATTATTTTTCCTGACATTGAAAATTGAGATTGGATCACTGGGGATTTGAGTTTAAAGTTTTCTTATTTACTAGCTATGAATTAAACTTAATTATGCCATTCTCACAATACCACTACATCAAGCTAATCTGTATGAACTGTGTCCTCTATTATGTTTAAAATAGATATTTAAAATAGGCATATTAAATAGATATTTAAATAGAGTCAAGCCAAGCTGCGAGTCAATCAGGATGAAGGTTTTTGCAAGAGGAAATCTAAGTAAACAAACTTTTAAAAATAACTCCAACTCAAAATTAGCAAGTACTGGGGAAGAATTGTGACACTGATGAGTACTGTTCACAAAAAAAGGTAAAACCAATACAAAAACTGTTCCCACCAAACAGTTTACCCACCTCAATGAAACACAATTTGAATTAATTAAACAGGACCAATTAGGCTATGCCTGACCCCTCTGCTCTTGGCTGCTCCCTGCACTTTAACCCTGGCCTTTCCTGAACAACAGGCCTTGTTCTGGATGGGAGCCAATGTATTACAGCTTGAAAACAAGAAGAGCAAGATGAAAGCCCAGATAAAAAACAAGAAGAAAAATTCTTAGCAATTTTTTTTCACCTTAGTATCTCTGCTATCTGGGCAGCAGTAGCCCAGCCTCCATGCAGTTGAGAGTGGTCTTGTCTAAGGACCAGCATGCAGTGCTGAGTAAGATAACTGTATATATCTTGCTTAATTTTTTTCGATTCTTCACATCTCAAGGAAGCACTGTTTAAAATTCCTGTGGGAAGAAAGCAGGAGAGAGACAAGGAGAAGCATAAGATTCTGATGTACATGATGGATTTTTTTTTCTTTTTCCAAAACGTAAAAGGTATATGTGTACACAGAGCCAGGATTAAGGTAATTCTAAAAGTGCTAAAAACAGCATAAAATATTTTGTCGGCATTTTTCACTCTTACAACTACAACCTATTTGTTAGATTATATGACAATTGGGAAGAATAGTTAAACTTAGGTTTCCATTTTCTCATTCCACACTTAGTATTAAAACATACATTACTGGGGATATAACCCATTTGTATGAATTTCCTAGGCCAGATAAAACCACAACCACTGTGAAACATATAGCTTCCTTATAATTACATCCCAATTTAGAACAGGACCTAACTTGTCTCCACCGTTTCTGTAAGCTGTGGCTATGTGGCAAAAGGAAAGACAGGGGGAGTCACGTAGGAGCTCGAGATTGCGTTTCTATGTTAAGACTTAAAAATTGAATACTGACGACTCCTCCGGCTCTCTACCCAAAAGCACTGGGAGAAATTATTTGAACAAGTGTAAGATCCTCGCCCACATCAGCACAGATCTTACAAACACGGTGACAGCTGAGAGAGAGAAAGGACTTCCTCTCCATTTGCTCCCCAGCTCCTCCTCTTTATTGTTGCCAAGCCAAATGCCACTGAATACCACTGTCAGGAAAAGCTACATTATCATCAACCTTAGAGTTCCCAACCCTACCAGAAATATTCAGAAAGACCTGTATTTAAGGAGGCAGAAGGAAGAAGGACTATCCATATTTCACTATATCTCATCCTTTTATTTTCAAAATGGTGCTAATTACCCTTCAACTTCAGAAGTAGCAGGGGGATGTCCTGTTCTCTGCTCTCAGTGACCTGAGCAGCTAAGGCCAGTACCCGCGGATCCGCAGCTGCCAGCGCTGCGCCGGGCGCCTTGGCCACAGGGAACAGCGACAGGCCCGCACTCCCATCGATTCAAGCCTCTTTTTAATAGCTTCAGTGCAGGCGCGGGGTCCTTAAGCCACTACTTCCACCGCACCTCCAGCTCCTGCACCACCAGCTGGAAGCTCCGCTCTGCGCCTCGGCCTGGGGGTCTCCCCCTGAGAAAG